CATAAACGATTCAATTGGGTTTCATCTACCCTAACTACATAAAAGACTAGCCTAACATACTCAATTAAAAAACAATAGTAAAGATAAGAGAACCCCAAGCCTCCATTGGTGTAATGTTGACTTGGTTCCTCAGTGTTCCAGCGCTCCGCAATAGGATTCCTCCTTCAGGTCTCTATGTGATTCTCTGGATTGGTGAATTGGTGTTTTGGTCTGACCCCAAGCTCCTTATTTATAGCCATTGGAGTTGTATCGTTCATTGCATCTCCCACCGAATCCGTATCAGATTAGTAATTGATTCTACAATTGTTTCCTCTTTGCATTTAAGATCTTGAAGATTGGTTGACATATTTGAGCTTTGAATCTTTGTTGTGATCTTCCATCATATCTTCCCATGGATTTATATCTATTCTCAATCAAGATTGATTTGTTTCCACTTTGTATTTTTTTTGTAAAATCTAATGCATATCTTGATAAAGATATAAGATCTCTTTTGGATTTAGAATTGGTCGTGCATGGACGTTTTAGCGTGCTGTTTGTGCGCTAAAACGTTCTCACAGTGTGTTGTTGTCTGCCTATGGGCATTTTGGCGTGCTGTTGGGTGCCAAAACGTCCTCTTCGAAGGGTTTCTGAAGAATTTTGGCGCTCTGTTTGGCCGCCAAAACGCTCTAGTCCAGGGAGTTATTGTGATTTTCTTCATTTTGAGCGTGTAAATGTGCTTCTTGGACACCAAAACGTCCTTCTTCAGCTGGTACACACTGAAATCTTGCTTCCTTGAGGCTTTAATTCATCTGGTTGCATTCCTTTGGCTCTAAAAAGTCATAATGCGCATCAAAAATCCTTTGAAATAAGAATTATGACAACATGTTAGCAAGATATTCAATTATTGTGACTTTACGGTATAAAACCCTAATTTCCATGCATTTCATGATATATTTCAAGTATATTTAAGCTAGAACCATGGTAAACCAAGAGTTTATCAGCAAGATACATTAAAGCCCCTATTGCACATAGATAAGGTACTTTAGGACCAATGACTTCTTCATCAATTTTTTTAGAATGGAAAGAATCTTTTGAAATGTTAAGAAGTCGGTTGACCATTGTTGAACTCAATGTATAAGCTTTGTCTATGTAATAATAAGCATTTATCTAAGTATTGACATTTTAAATTAAGTTAATAATAATTTTTTATAATTATATATTTAATTTTAAAATTAAAATTTCACTTAATGAATATATAATCGATGATGTATTTTATCATTATTTGAAACTAAATATCAAAACAAGAATGGTATGAACACAATGTTATGTGGCACTTTAATATTATATAATACTTGTTTTAAATTTTGTCAAATTTTAAACTATACAGCATTATTTTGAAATTACATACAAAACGGGATAGCTTGATAGAAAAATAGTAAATAACATGATTGTTTTTTTTCAAAAATTATTTTTAATTACTTTTAAAAACAGTTTTTTGGATAAATGAATGGTTTTATGAATTTTAATTAAATTCTATAAATTCCTTTAAGTGGATAGCATTACTTAAAAGTAAAGTTAAAATGATGATTATATGAAAAGGAAAGTAGACAAATATCTACAATTATATGCAAGTGGGGCAGGAAGAAGGATATTACGGACAACGATCCACGTTATTGGCAAAAAAAATTATCGGAATGCCATGCTTTAATGTTTTTTTTTTTTTCAAAATGTCACGTCACCTAACTCACTACAACACCTAGCAAGTTAGGTCTGGACACATGACAGCCAGTTTGAGGCCACCTAAATCGCTACAATCCAACATTTATCCCAGTCAACGTATCAGACTGCCCAGTTTGGAATTGCAGTCCACTTGGCATAAAATCGTGGACATCATGGCGCATTACTGACATGTGGCACATTTCCACATCAAACGTTAGGCAGCATGGCGCATTACATGTCACATTCTGTCACGTGGTTAAAGTCGTCGCACTGTATAGCATCTTACGTGGAAATGCAATGTGTACAATGCTCAACAGTATAGCGAGTATGGTTTAATATATACCCCATTCCACTCCAACTAGATGCAACATTTCGTCTAAACTATGTAAAGATTTTATAGTTATTTTGTTCTTCATTTTTCATCTAATTTTTTTCAAAATGAGTGATGGCAATGATTTAGTAATTGCCTTAGTATATTACAATGGGAGAAAATATTTTAGTCCTAATGGATACTACAACCAGGTGCAACATCTTTGCCCCCACATGACAAGTGGCAAACATGCATTACGTGGCTGAGCGATTGCCATGTAAGATATTATGTCGTGTGGCAACTGACACGTAACATGTCGTACTGCCTAGCATTTGTGCTAAGTGAACTGCAGTCCTAGATTAGTAGGGGTGTTAACGAGCCGAGCCGAGCCGAGCTTTGATCTTAACGGGCCAAGCCTGTATTTAAACGTGTCTGACTGGCCTTAGTCTGTTATCTGTTACGAATATAATATTGGCCTGTGGCCTGGTTTATTTACAAAAAATAAAAGCCTGTGTGAAGCCTGTCTTAGCCTGTTAGCATGTTAAAGTATAAAAATAAGAGAACAGAATTCCACAAAAAATCAATTTCCAGATAGAAACCTTAGCTTCCAATTTGCAGCAATAATTTACAAAGTCTACAATAAATAAATAAAATTAATGTGAGAGAAGGTAAATAACAGGTTATATTATTTTAGCACATTATAAAAAAAGTGCCAACAAAAATAAAATAAAAAAAAATAAAATAAAAAATAAATTGACACAAACAAGCATTGCACAGTGGAACGAATGAGTTTTTGTGGGTTTGTTTGTGTGAAGGAGGATGAAGGATAATATAGAACATCACTAGTAATTTCATAAATATACATAAATTCAATATATATCCAAATAACATAATATAGAACAAAATCATTCAAAAAGTCTGTTAAACCAATAAAATGGGGTGAAATAAATTGATGAGAGAGAGTTATTACAAGTAGTATAAAAAGTATAAATAAATATTTATATACTAGGCTAGCCTGGGAGGCTCTAAGGCCGAACTTCTGAATTAGAGTCTGAGGCCTTTTTATTAAACGAACTTTTATACAAGTCCAAGCCTGGTTCCAACACGAGCTTTTATTAAACGAGCTCAGACCTTTACGAGCCGAGGCAAAGGCCCCTGGCTCGTTTACCACCCCTATAGAAATAGGCATTCTACCATGTTGACGGGGAAAATTGCTGAATTGTCCAGCAATTTAGGTGGCCTCAAATTGACTGTTTCTAACTTGTCAAGTGTTATAACGAGTTAGGTAATATGAGATTAAATTTTTTTTTCAAGAGTGTTGCATTCAATAATTTGTTGCGAATAACGAGGCCAAAGGGTCGTTGTCCGAGGATATTATGCCCAGGCCGTGATCCTAAACAAATCACGAGGAAAGCGTGCGTATTATTTGATATGATTCATTTAACAAAAACAGTTATTGCGCGTATCAATTTGAATTATTTAATAAAGTTTTTTCCCTTTTTATTTTAAAGTTCATAAAAAAATTATTATATAAAAGAAAATAAATTCAAAATTATTTTATTACCCTTTAACGGGATAAAATTGTTGTAAGAAGGCGAGCAAGTAGTAATTTTTTGATTTGTAAAAGTAAAATATAAAAATCAATGTATAAAAAATTGTAAAATCAAATTTATTTGGTGTACTGTATTTTATCTTATATATTTTTTATTTATAATTTTTTTAAAATTATTTTAGTGAGAAGTATAAATAGAACGTTTCTCTCACAATTTCATCATAATTCCTGAGATTTCTTAAAATTTCTCTATTAGAGTATCTTCTTATTCTTTATTAAAATCTTAAAATTTATAAGATTTGAATTTTTCTTTTAAAATTTATAAAATCCAAATTCGATATAATCTTTTAAAATTTATAAATTTATGAGTAAATACATTTTTTGGTACTCAGCAAATTTTACGATCCCCGTTTTAGAACCTAGCAAATAAAAAGACCCATCGTCGTCCCTAAAAAATTCAAAATGAACCCATTTTAGTCATTGTTTTGAATTATTTAATAAAGTTTTTTCCCTTTTTATTTTAAAGTTCATAAAAAAATTATTATATAAAAGAAAATAAATTCAAAATTATTTTATTACCCTTTAACGGGATAGAATTGTTGTAAGAAGGCGAGCAAGTAGCAATTTTTTGATTTGTAAAAGTAAAATATAAAAATCAATGTATAAAAAATTGTAAAATCAAATTTATTTGGTGTACTGTATTTTATCTTATTGTTTTTAATATTTTTAATTTATAATTTTTTTAAAATTATTTTAGTGAGAAGTATAAATAGAACGTTTCTCTCACAATTTCATCATAATTCCTGAGATTTCTTAAAATTTCTCTATTAGAGTATCTTCTTATTCTTTATTAAAATCTTAAAATTTATAAGATTTGAATTTTTCTTTTAAAATTTATAAAATCCAAATTCGATATAATCTTTTAAAATTTATAAATTTCTGAGTAAATACCTTTTTTGGTATTCAGCAAATTTTACTATCCCCGTTTTAGACCTTAGCAAATAAAAAGACCAATCGTCGTCCCTAAAAAATTCAAAATGAACCAATTTTAGTCATTGTGAGGACTAATATGAGTCCTTTTTGAATTTGTGAGAGACTACAATTTCAACTAAATGGGTCCATTTTGAATTTCTTAGGAACCACAATAGACCTTTTTATTTGTTAAGGACTAAAGCGGGCATAATAAAATTGTCTGAAGACCAAAAAGATATTTTCTCTAAAATTTTTTTTATCTCCAAATCATCTTTTAAAATCTTATTCCATTAGAACCCTTATAGTAATCAAACTTATAGGACTTTTTGGGAAAAATAACAACACGTAGCTTCTATCCTTTCCTTCTATAAAGTGCACCCACCAAACACAACAAATGAGGGAGTGAGTTAGTGACGCAACTAGGAAAAACATACACAACTAAAACTCTTCAAAACAGAGAGAAAGAAAATGGCCTCTTCAATTTGCAGCAAGGCTTTCGCCTCCTTCGACTGCCGTTCCGATTCTGATTTCTTCGAGAGCCTTCGCCACCGCCACTCCACAAACACCACCGCAACGGTGCCGTTTCACCACCTCTCTTCATCTCCTCGAAACTTCCAGCGCCAGCTCAGCACCAAGTCACGCCGCAACTGCAGTAACAATGGCGTCGCACAAATCGTCGCCAACAGTAACAGCAACTCCGCCGCTGCCGCCGCAGCACCTCCGTCTCCGCCGCCGCCGACGACGGACACCGGGGCGGGGTTGAATCAAACTATAAATTCTAAGGAATCCGTTATCGATCGTTATTCATTTTTGAAATGCGATGGAAGCAAAACCATTCATGCTGGTACTTAGTTTTTCTTGTTTTTATCATTAATTTTGAGCTGTATTTCAAGACTCTTTTTAGTTATTTATGAGGGTGATTGAATTATGTTTTGAAAAATAGTTTTTAATTTTTGAACCAAAAAATAACAAAATTCGACTGAAAAGGTGTATTTTGTTAAAAAAGTTTTAAAAAATTACAATTTAAAAAAAAAAAAATTAAAGAACATATTTATATTATTTTTATCTTGTGTTTTGATTTTTAACATAAAAAAAAAATCAAAATACAATCAAATATTTTTTTTATAAAAACAAAATGGCTCTGTATTTTCATATATGCAACTTATTTTTAATAATGTGATCTTTAAAAAATGTTATTAATGATATTTTGGCAAAAGTATCTTTCTAAAATTTTTGGATGAAAGAATTGGCCAGTTAAAAAATAAAAAAAAAAAAATTAAATAACATGGTTCACGTAGATAAAATGTGTCACTCGATGGCATGTGTTGCAGCTCACGGTGTTGGTTAGGAAAGAATTCAGGGGCTTATGAGTTTAAATGGTCTTGTGATTGTGGAACTATTATTGAAAATTAGAATTATGTTTGTGTGGAGATAAAATATATCAAATGTGGTGTCATTGCGTAAATCTCGAGAAATTATGTGAAATAAAAAAAAAATATCTAATTTTCTGAAGTTTTACGATAACGATACTGCTTACGTGGCGCTGATGTGGCATCAGTCCCTTCGGGATCATTGACAGTACTAGTTCTATAAATGACATATTTGACTGCATTATCTTGAAAAAGCTTATCCAATCAACTTTAACTAGATAATTCTTTTACCCAAAAATCCTAGAAGGGTGCTTTAGCCATGATATTTTTTTTACTTAAATATACAAATTAATGCAAATAAAAAAGATTTGAAGCCGATCAACCTTTAATTTGTATATTTATAATAAAATTTTGGAGGCTAAAATAAAATTACTATTTTAGGATCAAATTTTATATTTATTTAAAGAAACATTTTCTGGGTTTTTATTTTTCTATCATTAATCTTGGTCAATAACGTCTATATTTGTGTAATCTTTTTGCATATGACTTTTTAAATATGAAAATGTTTTTATGTTGTTTTTTATTTCTAAATTTTTTTGTCTATATAAATAAAGGGTTTAATGTTGTCCTTTTAAAAAATATAGAATTGTGTCATTTTAAGTGAGAGAAAAACACAAACAATAAAAATTATGGGGAAAAATTGGACAATTTTTTTAATTTAAATTTTAAATAAAAAATATTAATTTGTGTCATTCTATAAATTAATACAAGTTACGTTAAGCCAAAGAAATTTTATTTCGTGTTAGTTAAATATTTCTTTTATCTTTATCATGTTTTAATGTAGTCCTTGATGTATGTTATGTTGTAATGCTCTAAAACTAGCAGAGTTATTTTAAAGTATAAGGACTAAATTTAAATAATTGTTAAGGAATGTGGATAAAAATATAATGTTTTCAAATCATTAGGTGTGGACTAATGGTGAGGGATTATATAATTTGTATTAAATTATATGTCTGACACTGAATACCATAACCAAATATATATATATATATATATATATATATATATATATAACTCTTATTTTTAATCTTACGTTTGAATTTGACTATTTATAATTCAAACTGATGAAGTAATGATAGTAACAAAATAGTGACGACCAAAATAAAAATAGATCCATGAATAGAGACTAATTGGATTTTTTATGTACAATTAAGTTAAAAATAAATGTTTTTGATCGGTCTAGTTCAATATGGGCTGGTCAATATGGACCGGGCCAAATCATATATGGTTGAAGAATGGAGAATTTGGTTGAGGTATAATGCTTCGTGGGCTAATGATGACTGCTATGTGATGAATTAGCGTTGAGCTTTCTTGGCACGATGGTTCTAGCTGGGAGTACCAGCAATGACACTCTGATGCTTAAGTCAGTATCAATGCTAGGTTTATGTTGTATTCTTACTGGAATTAGATTGTTATACCTGTGTGTGTACCCCTTGTTTATATATCAAGTCTTTATGCCGCCTTTGTTAAGCGATATGCCTTCTTATTAGTTGTTCCTGAGCTGCAGACTTATCTGTCTCAGCTGGTGCTTTTCTGGCTATACTCCTATAAAATGACCTACCTTCTTAAAATTGTGGCAAACTGGTGTCTTTGGTGTATTGGCTTATAGCGCGGTGCATCTTGGTTTTATAGGGTTCTTCCTTAGTGCTTAAGTTTATTTAAGGCAGTTTAGGCGCGGTGAGGCCATTACGTCATTAGGTTTTTATGCATGATGGAGACATTGTGCGTTTCTTTGGGCCTGTATGTTTCCAGGCCTTTTTTGGGCTTTAACCCTATATGTTTCAGTTGCCCCCTAACTCATAGCTTTTATATTTTGAAAATAAAATATGTGAGATATGGTAATGTACTTTCGCGCGTTCCTCTTCCATTTGTTTTTGGCGCTTTGGACCATATCTCGCATGTTTTGATCAAAGCACCATCATTAAATGTCATCGTAATTACGTGGGTGTTTAAACAGCAAACGTGTGATGTTTTAAACTTAAATCTTTTTAACTTCTTCACACGTGCCCCCTTTTACCCGTTTCATCCAACACATTTTATTTAATACTCCTTTGGTGACTTTTTGTATTTGTACTGAGTTGCTTAAGTGGAGGGAAAAAAGTTCGAAGATACCCACTTCTGCTGCAATGTGTTCTTCTCCAACATTCTAACTCTGAGTTTTTCTTGGTGACACGTACTACTTTCTCATTTCCTACCAGAAATATAATGCTCAGGTATATTCTGACTTTTTCTCTGCACATTATTTGTTCATGTGTTCTTTCATCTCGTGTTTCTTTCTTTTATCGCGTTAGGGCATGTCTGATAGTTACCAAATTATGCATCTTATCAGAATGGCCGAGACGTCTGACTCTACCAGTCCCCTATCAAAGTCTTTCCCCAGGTCTAGGTCTTTAGGGACTAGAGAGTGGTGGCTGACGGGCAAGGGTATTTCGCCTTGGGAGAAAGCGGAACTTGAAAAGAGTTTCCCTCCCACACTTCGAAGGTATAAGAAAGGATCCTCATCCCGAAACTTAGGACGTAGGATGTCCAAGACTTTGTCTCAACAAAGTTCATCTTCTCTCCCAATGTTTAAAATATCAACGCAGAATAAAATTGCCAATACAATTTTCATCTCGAGTGATTTTAGTCCTAATCCTACTAGGAATTATGATGAGCCTGTAAATGTGAATACCCTAAGTTCTGGAGGCGCGCAATTCTCCTTCTCCCATTGCGTATAAAGAACCAACCGAAAAAAGTCCAAGTCCCTTCCACTGAATGTCATTTATCTCGCAGGATATCCTTATAAGAAACGCAATTTTGAAAAACTGAACCCTTCATTTTTTAGTTCTTCAACTTCTTCTTCTAGCTCTACTAATTCCTCGTCTTCTGATATAGATCTTATATGGCCCAAGATCAAAGAGATTATTGCCAAACACAATGCAGCTGAGAAGAAGAAAAAGCAACGTCAAGATCTTGAGGCAGCAGGGGCAAGTACATCCTGTATTCGCGATGCTGAAAGCTTGGAATGGATGACTAACATTGTGCGAGAGACTACCTCTATTTATAGTTCTTTGGGGGAACTGGAGGAGCTGAAGGCCGTAATCCACTTGGCACAGAACAAAGCGAACGATGATAAATGGGAATTATCGGTGGTTCCCTTGAATAAGTGTGTGTGCTCATCAATTGCCAATAATTCATCCAAGCACTTCCTGATGATGTATGCGTTTTATTTCTTGAACCTTGGAGTGCGACTCCCCTTCTCTCTTTTCATCTGCAAATTACTTGAGCATATTCAAGTAGCTCCCTCACAACTATCTCCCAATGCATGGGATTTTATTAGGGTTTATGAGATGGTGTGTAAAGCTTATAACTTTTTCCAGTCTCTAGAGTCATTTTTGCGTTTATTTAGTTTATTTGGGTCTCGCACTAGTTGGGTGTCTTTTAAGGGAAATGCAAAGTACAAGTTTTATTATTCCTACCAGAGGAAGATTCATAATTGGACAACAAAATACTTTAAGATCTACCCCGAGGGGTTGCTATCCCTTTTTCCTTGGGGAGGAAGACAATGCTCCCCTATTCCCTCTGTACTGGAATAGATACCCATCAGATGAATACAAGTTGAACATATCCTTCGCAGACTTAAATGACTATGAGCAAAAAACAATCACTACTTTGTGTAACATCGCGTGAGAAACATCAGACACAAATTATCTGAGTACCTTCACAATCTTGAATGAATATACCGATGAAAATATTAAAGTCTTCTTGGGTAAATACTTTTTTTAGTTTGTTTTCATAATTACTTACTGTATTGACCTATCTTTCTTTAAGTGTAGCTAATGCGCAGTTTTTGTTTGATGTATCAGATAGTACAATGTCTATAAAATTGAAAACATTGGAAGCTGTAGCCGCAATGAGAGCTGGTGGCAGCGCTAGCCTTGCTGGTACTGTCGCGCCGACCGCTGAGGCTTCGCCAGCAGGTGTAGAATCAAGCCAAGGTGCTCTACATCTTACTTCTCCTGGGCCACAGAATATGACCAATGTGCCATCGCCCAAGAAGAAGAAGGAAACATTGCAATCCTTGAAAGACCAGAAGAGGAAAGCCCCTGAAACAAGTACTGTTTATATGGAGTCAACCTATTTCGAAGGTGACTGGGGTATGGAAGATTGTCGCTATACCAAGGGCAAGGAGGTTTACCCTCAAATTGAGAAGGCATCTATGAATGCTTGGGAAGAGCTATCGCGAAACTGAACATGGCGAATCAACATTTAATGTCTTTGACCGGTATGTATGTCAAAGTAAGTTGTGGGTGTATTGATCCTAATCTTAGAATTTGTCCGTTTTTTGTTAACCTTCTCCTTCGCGTGGCCTGGTGTCCCCTTTTCAGGTACAATGACCTATTTCAAAGAACCAGTCACGAAGATGGAGGGTGAA